AATTTTAATTAATAGAATTAATTATAAATTAAGTAAATTATTATTTTTTCGCAAACTTACCATTTGTATGCCTGTAGATTTTTTTTGATTGCCAATATGAGGCCGGAATTTTCCAATTTGCGGTTTGGCTGAATCTCATTGCATTACAATAACACATGATTCCATAGCAATATTTCATTAAAATAAAAGCAGAAAAATACACACTATGCAATACTCTGATACACTACCGACAAGCAAAACGAACTCTTTAAAATAACATAGACTCCGTAATATGATATAATGTAAAAATTATTAAATTTTACGAACTGAAAACCGAAGCAGGAAACGGAAAAACCCGAACCACACATAACTTAATTTTTTATTTTTTTTGAATTTCGCGTTTTGTATTTTATAATTAATATATTAATATTTTTTCTTAATTTTTTAACGCACTCTCTTTTTGTTTTTACTACAAAGGTTTAGCTACCCAAATAATGTTTACAGGGTGAACATGTAACTGTTATCTTTAGTTAATAGTTGTTTCCACTGAAAATATGAAACAAAAAATAATAATTACAAATCTTAAATAAATCAACTGAATAGTTTTAAAAGTTTGTGTGGAAAAGTTCTTAAGTATTCACCCACAAATAAAAAGTTTTTCTTCACACAACAATTTGATTTTCATCGTTCAGTTAGTACTTCAGCTATATGATATAGTGGTCTGATCTAGAATTGTTTTTCAGTTATTGTAGTGTTGCCATATTACAAAAACCTTTCGAATTTCATGAAGATAACTCAAGAAAAAAGGTGGTACATATAAGATCATTGCGAATGTTGGAAAAGGCTTACGGTGATTCATTTGAATCAAAAATAAAAGCCTACGAGTGCTTCAAGGTCCTTAAAGACGGTCGAGAGATCGTTGAAGACATACCTCTTTCTGGACGAGCTTCAACTTCTGCAACTGATGAAAATATAAGATGTGTGAGAGATATGGTGCTTGAAAATTGTCAGGCAAGTGTTACAGGAATGGCAAGAGAGCTCCACATCTCTCCCGATCCGTTCGAATGATTTTGGTGAATATTTTCGGTATGAAATGCGCTCTTCCTCGACTTGTCTTAATAAAGCTAATAAGTTTTCAAAAAGAGTACTATTAGGACCGAATTTAAATCTAAAATAACAATGGATACCATCGATCAATCGCAGTATTCACCAGATTTGGCCTCGTCCGATTTTTTCTTGTTTCCCAAACTGAAATTGTCACTCCGAGGAACCCGTTTTCCGTCAATCGAAGAGATAAAGCAAAATTCGCCGAAAGAGTTGCAGACCACACAAAAAATTGCTTTTGAAAAGTGTTTCGAGGATATATAATATAGTGGTTTGATGCCGGCGGTTCCGAAAAAAGAGCAGCTTATGTATATGGAAGGAAAGGCAGTGTGTAAAATTTCAAGGCGAAAAAATTAAGGCACTAGTCCGCGAACATACAAACAGACAAGCGTGGATAAATAAACTCTACACTTCGCGCTGAACTGGAGTTACAAACTTTGTGGTAAACTTATTATACCCTGTTCAGGGTATAAAAATGCATCGTCCATTCAATTAAGAATAAAATTGACTCATCCTGTATTCTACGCACTGGTAAGTAATAACATCGACTTGTAAAGACTTTATAAATCTCAAAGAGATATTATGAAGGGACTAAACCTAAAAATGTACTCACATTGATTGATGGGTTTCGTAGAATATCGACCACGAACTGCTTTTAGTGATTTGGTAGGGCTCTAGTACTTCAGTAGTAGGAACCCTTTCCACATTATATTCAAAGAGCATGCGAAATTTCAGAACGGAGGGAAGTTGAAGCGTGGACTACTAGCTGGGACAAATAAATGAATATACGGCATGGCCGGTCCCAAACCCTGCGTACAAGCCTGAGGAATGTTTCGCCTTCGAGCGATTATTTTTTTTTCTACTTGGAGGATACGTGGCCTAGGACTGCACATCGTGAATCGTTTCTGGTCATTGCAAAATAAATGACACTCAGAGAACTTGTCTCATTTGCGTGAACTTCTACATGTGGCTCCATCCTCTTCGCTTCTTCGTACTCATACAACCGCGGCGTTGTTTCTGCTTTTAACATTCTGCATAAGGAAACGAATCAAATGGGTCTGGTAGTGAACGAGGGCAAGACGAAATATCTCCTGCCATCAAACAAATAGTCAGAATAACTCTTCCCAAAATATCAAGTCCAACAAAGACAATTCTCTACAAGTCACTCATTATCCACGTCCTGCTATATGTTGCAGAGGCATGGACAATGACAAAAGCGGATGAATCGGCATTACAAGTTTTCGAGAGAAAAGTTCTACGGAAGAATTTTGGTCATTGGCGCTTTGGAAATGGCGAATAGTGCGGTATGCGATGGTGACATAGCGAATTAAAAGACAAAGGTCAAGGTCACGTCGTCCGAATAAAAAAAACACTTCAATTCTGAGAGTATTCGACGCAGGACCCACCGAGGGGCGCAGAGGAAGACATCCATTCCGTTGGAAAGATAAGGTGGAGAAGATAGACTTGGAGTCTCCAAATGGGGCCAAACAGCCAAAAGTAAAAACGACTGGTGCGCTGCTGTTAACTCGGCTATCACCACGTAAGCGGTGTCTTTGAAGGAGTATAGTTTGTTCGTTTCGTGCTCCTCTGGAACAAAACTTGGCTAAATACTTCGTTTGATCTAACTCGGATTTTATCAAGCCAAGGAATATCAAGTCGACGGCATTCTAAGAAATTACTTGAGAAATTTTTCCTGCCGCTACAATAAAACCTTAAGCACCAATTGAGCTCAATTTACTTCCCAATATAAATGAGTAATCTTTCCACAGAGTTCCGTGGTTTCAATGCGTCGAAATCATTTGAAATTCTCAGAAAAACAACTAGGCCAATAAACTTGCGTATATTTTTGGCAATTTCCCTAAGCTTTTCGCTAACAAATGTTGTGGATTCGTCTAACAAATACTATTTGCTTAGTAAACTGCAAGGCAAGTCAAAAACAGACAATTATTTCTGCGCTAATTCCAAAGCAACTAAGTTGCAACATAAGTGCGAGCGCAGCTATAAGAATATGCGTGCAACAAAGCGTTACGAGTACTAATGTATAATATGTTGCACGTATGCATGTGTTTATGGTGGCATATAGGTGAAGCTGTTGCATTGCGGTGCAGTGTCGATAAGTGCCAAGGCGGACAAAAATAGTTGCCGCCTCGGAAAATGCGCGAGTAGAACAAAAGTGTGAGTATGTATGTATGCATGCAATGCATTTGTTGTTGGTGCACATCTGCAATTGTCAGCTTGTGGCACACACACACACACACACACAAACGTAAGCATCAATATGCCACACAGCCAAGTGGCGTGACACAAAGCGAGCTACTTTGGTGCCTTATGAAGAGGAAGAATGCCTTCACTCGACTATGCCACAAAGCGCTCGACAGCCAACAACAACAACAAAACGAGCGGCTTTATGTGGACACATTTCGAGGCATTAGCGGCGCATCCACGCATTTGCGGTTTATTGTAATTGTCAGCTTATTTCGGTATTTCACAATATCCACCAACTCGATTTGCTCACTTTTCGCCGCCACAAATGTGGCATTTGCATTTCATTTGAATTAGCCGAATAAGCAGCAAAGAAGAACAAATAATTTGCTGTTAACCGAAAAAATCGTGAATTAAAGGCAGAAAATTGTCGCTAAATTTGCGGCACGTCGACATTTTGGCGCATCTTCAATGCGTCGTGTGACTCACTCTCGGCAGCCGGCTGTTGGTTGTTGGCAGCGGTCAGATTGTGTGTGGCAGCTATCGCCTGAGGAGTGCGTACACGTCACAGATTAGACAAGAAGACAGCGTACATAGAGACAATGGCTTTTGTGAAGTTAGTTAAGACAAGCGATACTTCTAATAATCAGGGAGAAGCTTTTGGCCTAGAAGGTTTTGTGTGCGATGAAGAAATATATTTCTTGAGAATCCATTTTGTTGAATTTTTGTCTTTCCAAGTCTCTTGTGTCTTTTAGTTTCGAATTTAGTCCTGATTGGAGATTTTACTTAGCGGTTCTTTTCCGCTCTCATCGAATTTCGCTGACTCTTAGCATCTCTCTCTGGCGCTTAGTGGCCTTCACAGCTTCGAAGATTCACATTTGCTTCTAAAGATCTTCATTTTGATTGCACTGGCTCTAATTAATTTTTAATGGTTCTTACTTCTTATCCTTTAGCTCTCTAACTATCACCAGCTCTCCTCTGCACAGGTCGAGTAACTATGACTCTCTGGGTGCGTATCGAGTCTACGTAACCGGAACGAACCTAGATTTAATCAATATGGGCTTTTGCTCTTAAATATGCATCATTATAAGTCTCGAGTATCGATTTTGTTGAGCTCCTCTTCTTCATGTCTCTCGTCTCCTTTAATATCGAAATTCAGCTGATCGAAGCTTTTACTTAGAGATTTTCTCTGTTTTCACTGACTTTCGTTGGTTCTCAACAGCTCACCGTGGCTTTTACTTGATTCAGCGATTCTCGAGAGTTCATACCTGCTTTTAACTTTACTATCAGTGTCTCTAACGAATTATTTACTACTCTCATCTACTCTCACTGATTATTATTAGCTCTCTTGTGCACTAGTCGACTACTTACGACTTTCCTGGTCCATCTTGGCCTTTCTCTAAATTACTGTACCGATATTTTATGCCACTTTAGTAACGAGAACAAGTTTCTCTGTACATAAGAAGCGCTCTCCGATTTTTCTTAGCTCTCATCGATTTATTAACCCATCTCTCACTAGCTCTAAGTGATCCTTACTCGCCCTGATTGTTATTAATTGAATATTATGGAGCTCTCCAACTACCGCCGAAAATATGCTGGAGTGTGTTTCTTCACTTGGACTGGTTTTCAAACTTCCGAAATATTCCCGTATACCTTAATTTTACTCTGCTGTGTTTTCTCCAGACTTACTCAGAAATGTTTCAGGATTTTTTTTTCCCATAATCAATCTGAATTCTGTTAACTATAGTGTATTTTATAGAAAAAGACGGAATGTGATGAAACAAAGCGAAAATCAGCTGGAAACCGAGCCTTTGAGGTTAAGTACAATAAAAATATCTCACTAAGAAAGCTAAAAAATTTTTCTTATGCTAAGATTTTTACATTAAGAAATTTGATAAACAAAATGTCATAAATTGTTTATAAGAAAAAATAATTACTTAATCAAACTTACAAATATTTGTGGAAAAAAATTGCGCAAACAAAAGATTAAAATGTGAAAAGTTTCTTTAAATTTCAACAGCAGGATTTCTGAGATTTATTATCCATTAGGAAATTGCTAAGCAAATACTTGGAATCACTCTTGCAACATGATTCCATTTGATTCGTCTGGATTTAATTCAAATAAATTGCTTGAAGACGCAAATATATATA